ACTATCGAATATACGCGACTCTTCTAGTGTGGCAATACATAGAGGTAGCGCAATTGCTCGACGAATTTCCATCCAAGGACAACGGGGACTAGAGTGAGAGAAAGACATACGCGATGACTATTAATTATGCATGGCGCCCATCCCTCCCTCTGGAATACATTGGTGGATACGGTTGCGACCTATGTGCCCGTAGTTCTACGTACTGCTATAAGTGGAAGTCTAATCCTCTCAGGTATAGTGGTGGCGACAGCCTTTGTTTTCTCTCTTCTTAAAGTTAAAGGATACGCGTGCCGCTCTTCTGGTCTGTTTTTGACGTGTGTACCAGACGCGTAGACGCGCGCTTCTGGGCTGACAGTAATTGACTTGCCGTCTGTCTCGTGATAGAGAACAATGGGAGCACGTGCAGACTTGAGGTCCATCATCGTCTTGAGGCTGCTTCGGTTCAATTGCTGTCGAAGAACATGCACGGCCTCCTGCTTTAGCTTATCGCCAGTCGGCATTTTATTTATCGACTCAATCTCCACCGAGGAACTTAGCTCTGATGTGCTCCTCTTTACAACGGTCTGACTTCTTGTCATGCCATCTCTTCGAGCACTTCGACTTCTAGCACGAAGAGCAGGTGGCGCGCTACCACCTGAATCCGCCATTTTATTTTCAGAAATTGCTATAGAAGGTGGCAAATCATACTGACTCAGGAATATTGGAAATGCTTGATTCTACTCAGAATTGACTATCGGGGTCTCGACAATTGAGGTTGCGTCAATGGGTCGAAAGTAAAAGTATCTGTCGCATCCATTTCCAGAAAGTAACGAAATTAATTGGGACCGCGCTGTCAGTCTTAGTCTTTGGCTCATTCTTAGTGAAGCGTCATTCATAGACCCACCTATTGATTTGGAACATACGAGTTCAGAATAGGCTTCGTCGAGCAGACACGAGCACATAAGTTGGCATATACAGCGGGGAAAGCTGCAAGGGCCGGAAGACTCAAAACTCGGCTGGGCTTGGGCCAGCCTTAACGACGACGAAAAAATGAGTCTGAAAAAAAGACGGAAAAAAAGCCAGTGAGCTATTCATTGTCGTTTATTCTCAGGCGAAACAAAACCGGTATCCGTGTTGTTACGCCGACTTATGTGTTATACTTCGCTTTGCAGTAGAGACCAAACGAACATACTCACAATCATTCAAACAATGGCGTCACGCTTCTTGCACTCTAAGCCGAAGAGCACTTGCTTTCTCGTACTCGCACGCGCGAGAAACTAGCACCGGCTGAATACAGATGCACTTCTACAAGGTTGCTGATGGATACCTAGATTTTACCACAGACATACGACAAAGGAGCTTCAGCACAGCTGTGGCCCACCGATGAGCACGCATTCAGTTTTGAACAAAAAACTTGGACGAAGAGCCGAGTCCTCCGATGTCACGGCACGACTGGAGAACGGACACCTGGCCGCTGCAGGCTGCGCTCTTTGTGAACGAACCTGAAAGAACGACTCATCCGGATGCGCTGTCTATAGATGGAGGAGGTTTCCACCCGCCCTTCGATGGATTTTGTTGCTTTTCATTCCCGGTGCTATTTATACTCGATAAAAGAATGAGTTCGGCTATGTGTTGCAGGTCCATGTCCTAAGCGTCCAGTCGTCCCTCTTAGTTTCCCTGAAGCACTCGCTTGCATAAGAGACTATCTAGGAAAGATTGCACATTGGCTCAAGTCTACTCTCGTGGGTGGATACATGGTTTCGAATATAATCAATTTTGTCCGTCGTAGGCGTCGTTACAACTGGGTCCTCAGGGGAGCGCCCACGCGTTACTTAACTGCAATAAAATTACTCGGCCTCAAAACGAACAAAATAGAAACTCTACTCCTGCATGGGTAGATGATCCATCAGGAAACATCCTACAATCGAATATAATTAGCGTGCCGCATTGTCCATCGATCCGTATAATTCTTCACCCTGATAATTTCCCTCCCAGTTATTCTCCATGTCTGACAAGTAGCATAGACTACCTAGAGGAGGAGCTGGTGCCTCTGTGAATGTAGTCCAGGCTGAGGCGTGGGCGTACAAACAACTGAAGACTTACGTGCGAGCTAAAAGTTGGAGCCCCCTTCCGACGGACGTGTACTTGCTTGACGGCTTGACCAATTTCCTCGAGGCGCCATCAATACACTGTAGCTCTGTTTCCTAGTACAAGACAAACTGTAAAACCTGCACCAAGGGCCAAGATAGAAGCTCCTGTCCTAAGATGTATCAATGTGTGAAAAGATACACCGACGAACAGCAACACCCGCTATTCACGGTTTTGACGGTCTTCATTGTACGCGTATCTTCTCAAAAAAGGCCAGCTACCTCCCACCACCCTATTTTCTTATCCGCAAAAATGTGTCGTGTTGTAAATCGTCATCAAGTAGATAGTTTAGATGAACGACCAAAATCAAAAAAGAGTCTTTTGTTGTTTCTTCCCTACATACTTCCGCAAAGCATGGCATCGAACAAGCAAGTAACTAGTAGACTACTGCGTGACCCCATAGGACTAGAAGCGAGCATCACATCGCAAAAATTGCGGTACCTATATCGAGTATCAGTCGATGTAGCCTCTTGCTTGTGCCTCCCGGGCCTCGCTTGCGGGGTTGGGAGGCTGTCTTCTCTGGTCGCCAGCTCTGAAACAGAAAACATGTTCAACACTGACTCGAAGTTCAAATAGTTCGACGTCACTGCAGAAGTGAGCCCTCAAACTATAATTAAAGCCATATGAGCACCCGGAGTGAGATATTCTTGCCAGTCTAACTATGTGTGATGTTGCTCCGAATGCTTATTCATCGATAAACCAGGTTCGCAGGATTGATTTTGATCCATTGGGAAGACATACTTGGGAGGCCCATTGTTATTTGCTTGCGCCTCTACTAGTACTAGTTAGTAGCTTAGCAGTCGTCTAGCTCTAGTCCGTCGGTCCGTCAAAAAAGTAGACACCTACACTAAGGCGCAAATAAAGAGCTGAAGGAGACGACATAAGTTGAAAGCGCATTGATGGACAGAGCGACCGCCAGACTACTAGATAGATACATAGATAACACTGAGTCCAATCAGTTGCATGACGTGTGGCCACACAGTAATTATGTAGCAGCAGCTCTAATCTATCTATCTATCTATCTATCAGGCGTTGTTGTGAGTTTGTGTCTAAGCAAGTACGCGCAACCGTCTATGTAACTATCTTCATGAGTGAATCTTTTGCAAAATCAACGCGACTGCACAGGAGTAGCGCGCTCCTACGTACTCCTTGATCCGAAACCAACAAAACAACCATAGTTAGAAGCGCAACAATTTTCACTGGCATAGTTCAGCAGTGCCCGCACGTCGAGGCACAAGGTGTGGTAATATATCAACAGTTATTTATCTACAGTATGGGAATATATCTACAATGTGGGAATATATCTACAGTGTCCCTATGTATCAACAAAAGCAGCTGGTTCATCTTATGAATATGCTTTAGATTCATTTGGTAGCGTATGTAAGCAAATTGCCCCACTGCAAACACCTCTCACTTCGTCCTGCAAACTATCGCCCCTACTAGGTCTACAATATTTATATATATAGACAGCCGCCTCTGCAGTGCATGCAGTGAGATTGATGCAGAAGTCCAAAAAAATATAACACCGCGACCAGCTACAAAACCTCATCTCAGGATCCCACGAAAATCAATTACGATCGTACTTTCAATATCATAATCACGATACTGCTTTTTTAAAAAATCTACTCATTACGAGGACCTACAAGAAGCACCCTATCGAAGTCACCTTCCCCTTTGTTCATGTTCCCACCTTCTATTTAGGGACTATTCACGGCCTGTAAAAATATAGAATCCGACTGACGAAGGTCCGCCTTGAGGCCCTACCAACTAGGGAGTCTGATGTTGATTAGACGAAATCGCAAGGATTCCAGCACGCAATGAGTGAGTTAATAAGTATAGCCATGTCTAATCCAACACGAGCACTAGCGAACCCTGAATGTTTTTGCTTGCGTAGATAGCAGCATACACTTACACGTAGTGCCACAAGTCGTTTATGACATACATACTATCAGTCTATCTAACTAGAGTGGAGCCTGAACAAGTCAGTTTATTACTTTCATTCAGCGAGAACTTCCTTCATTCACTTAATCGGATTGGTGCTCCAATATCTTTTTTTCGTTTTGTTTCTCATATTTATTCACTCACTCTTTCATGATGCATAGTTTTCAGCTGCAGCGAGATCTGTCGTAACAAACAAGTCTGTCGACCAGCTGCGAAGGGATGAAAGTACGCAGCTGGTTCCAAAAAAACGGCATTTGTATATCAGCATGTGTCTATCTTTCATTTTGTTTCTGGTCGATCCTAATTCAACTTCAATTACAAGTAATTTGTATGTAGCGAGTGAACTATGACACACTTGGGCAGAGATGTATTGATTACATTTTCATGCTTGTTGCTCATTTTCTGACGAGTGCACTCTGTCTTCTCATTGTTCCACCTAAATATAGAGACCATCTTACTGGAAATTGAAAATCGGGTCGACCACATCTAAGCTTTGACTTACCTACTGGAGCCGCCATCTTTGTCGTAGGATATTTAGCGACCGTCCACGGACAGACAGCTAGGAAAAAGGTACCTAAATAGATACATAGTTCAACAACCCGAAACTTGTTTTCATAGATCAGCGGTAGCTGAGCTCACTTCCTGAAGAAATGCGCGGCACCCTCTGCAACGCAAATCGTGACTCTCATTCTTCCTTCGGTTTCACATATATCAAGAGACCTTGACGTGGTCACTCTTTCATCCCAAAAATACAAGTACTTTTACATACCACATACCAGCCAGAGAGAGATCAACCTGAGAAGTCGACCCCTGACGACTCTACCTAGTCCTGAATCTAAATTAATCCTTTTTGACCATCTTCATCTTCTTGCTCTTGCTCGATTTGCTGGCGCTGCTGAGGTTGCTGTGGCGAGGAGCGGAAGCAGCTTCTTTCTTGACTTTGCTTTGCTGGGCCTTGGACTTGGTCTTCATCTTGCTCGGCTTGCTCTTTGGAGCATCTTCCACCTGGCGTTCTGGCATTCGTGCCCACATCACTTTACCCTCACCGGGGCCATTCTTCACGGTCTGCGTTGCGATAGCAAGCTCCCACGAGCAGCCTTAGACTGTGCTACAATAGTATAAGTGCTTCATTTCTGACCTATGCGTAGTGGAGTTCACTGTATCCATGACTGAATAAAGACTGGCTGATATGTGGCGAGCCGTGTCTTCTACATGGTAAGCGTGGCCAAGTATTCATTGTAACTGAAAACATGCATGGTCATCCCGAAGAAACTCCAAATCCACTCCACAGCGACAAAATAGTACCTATATAGAACAGAGAGCAGTAGGCGACTCCCAGATAGAAGCACTATGTGACTCTACAAGAGTCGACTTGTAGGGGTAGACGTATACCCTCAGAATACATAGCTAAAAGTAGTTGGTTCAGTCAGAGAATCTGCCATAACGTTTGATGGCGTTTTCGCGGATCGTGTTTTCGTTTTTCAAGGTTCTCTCCGCGGCCTGCTGCTCTTCCTTCATGCGTTTCTCATTTGTTTAGAGAAATGAGGGGAGTATTGCCACGCATCCATGACCATACAAGTCAAGCAATTTAATTATGCCGAGCCAGAGCTAGCTGTAGCTCTTGACTGAGAAATCCGACTGATGTCGCTCTTCTGTGGAGTGCGGCGAGACATGTGCATATACTATAGGTAGACTCCCACTCAATGAATTATTCTAGGGAAACTGAGGCTGTATCTGTAGACATATTCATTGATTGATATTAGATAGACGATAGATACACACAGCGAGAGAATGAAGGAGCAGCACTTCAACAAGAGAGGAAAGCAAAACCATTGGTATATTGACTGAGACTCCACGGACGCAGACACAAACTGAGTGATGCAGAGACTGGGGGCGCTCTCTGATGTGCGTTAGGATGGAGAAGTGGCGCCTCGCCATAGTACGCAGCGCATCACAGTCAATCAGTATGCTACTACCGCTGTGAGTTTATAATATATATTACCTTTATCAAAGTATCTAACTATGGCCCTTACTGTAAGCTTAAGAAAGTCTCGCCATAACAATACTTCAGCCAGTTTTCTCGTTAGAGGCATAGAAAGGCAGAAACCCCATCCCAGGAGTGTGCTCGTGCATGAATAGGCTATGAGTTTTTGAGTAGTGTAGTGCATGAATCATCTGGGGCTAACGGCCCAGATGATTCATACCCTAATTCTTTTCATTCCTTCCATGCTGAAGAATGACGCACTGAGCTCGTTGCCTTGCAGTGCAAGGCAACGTCAACGAGCTTAATTAGATTAATGCACTTAATTGGATTTCGCCTGCTTCTCCCTCAGAGCGCGTTTTGCCGCCTTCTGCTGGTTGTGAAGCTGAAGTGACGCCGTATTTTTTTGGTTGTGATGGGTGAAGGGATTCACCCCATGTTAGATTGAAAAGAAAATATATATAAATGATGATGTGCAAAAGATATAATGCAAAAAAAATCATGTGTAATATAAGTTGGATGCCATAGCCACGAGAAGGGCTATCTATAGTATGTATGTATTACTTAGATCCGATAGCGTCTTGTGCGTGGAGGGGGTGGATACTACACATAGCAAGCGCTGCCAATCTGTCAGTCTATAGGATGGATGAACGATGCTAATAAGAAGGCAACCTATCTACGGAACGCACTTCCGATTGCTCATAAATGTAGTCTTTCCCTTCTTCCTTGCATTCCTTGTCCACCGTCGCAAAAGAGGGCAGAATTAGAAGGAGACCAACGCAGCTGAAAGGCCTAGCCCGTCTGTCTATGATTTGTAGCGCCCATCGATCACATATTTGGCCCCATCCATCGATCCCTGCGCCCAGGAGTACTTTCAACATGCAGCCCTTCGTTCTACATGTTTTAATTTGGCCACATAAAAAGCCTGAACGAACCTGAGCCAGAGCCCTCCACCCTAGTCTATCGTCGCCCCCTCTTTTTCACATACTGCGACCTTTAGGAGCTAAAAAACTGACTGTGTGGAAGATTGTTGTTAGCTAACATCAAGATGCATAGACTGAGCTTGCAGTTTGTTCGGTCACCCTGCTTCCTGTAGTTGGTAAGTAAGGAGAATAGAAGCGGCAGTTAGTAACTGTTTTTCTTCCTTATTTCTTCGCTCATCGACAAGTGGGTCTAACTATGTATCTCTATCGAAGAAAAGTAAAAGGATCATCATAAGCGCTTCTCCTCCTTCCACACAATTTTGCCGGTCTTCTGAAATTAGAAGGTTGGTGACCAAGTCCTTTGTATGTGATGTTTTGACGAAAAAAACAACATCCCTTTATCTACATCATTCCAACTAGTCATCATTTGCGAACATCATGTAGTACCCACTGCAGGCACAAGCTACGGCAGTCAGTGACTGAGAAACTCTGATTACCCCTGAGTGATGCTATGCATGCATCACCCAGGCAAGACTTAGCTAGTTATTTCCTGGATGGAGTGCGTGAGTGCAAATATTAATCAGATAGAGACCATGCACATTTATAGCCTCAGGAAGAATCAAACAAGTGTGTCAGTATCAAGTTTTCTGCTCGTTCATAATTGTTCTTGATCTGGAAGAGCATGTCCTTGGGATCGCCGGCCATTCCGTACCTGAGAGAAAGAAAAATGTAGTAGGTGAAAGCTCAAGATTGACAGATGGACGCAGTCAGTCTCTCTACCAGTGACCATTCAACTTAAAATATTTCGTTCCCCATGGGCTGATAGATACAGAGATACAGCGGTCGCTCCTACCTAGGGACATTCGTCCCAAAATGGATTATAAGTCACTCATAAGTGGCGCTGTGATGCGGCAGCAGAGAAGCTTTAGCATCTATAATCAAAAGGCGTGAAGGTAGAGCGACACAACGCATAGAACCGCACGCACACCAAAGCAGAAACATGCGTGATCAGAATCAGATCAATGGATAATCGTAGCTATTGATACCTGGGAAGTAACTATCATAAAAACAAAGCAAAGTAAGTACTCCTCGCTGGTGTTGGACGGGACGCTGGAACCGGGCGTACGCTGCGCCGCTGGCAGAGGAGCCGGCGAGGCAACGATCAGAGAGGAGGAAGCAGCTTCGCCTGCAGGGGAAGGGCCGCCCAGGCCAAGGTCGTCTCCCATCATCTGCAGCGCGCGCTCGTGGTCCATCAGCGCCTTGTCGTATTGATCCTTGTATTCTTGGGCTCGCTTGTTGTATTAGACAAGAAGAGAGGTGAATACACTAAAGAACAAAGTATCTATAACCAAGGATACTTTTATAGTTCGAAGCTTTTTCATGCTATGACTTCTTGTCCACTGATCTCAATTTGTTTCGCTAGGAGTGTTTCTGCCCATGGAGTACCTGTGACAAATAAAGTGGCCCTGACTTACACACAGTTCAAACAAAGATCCAGACTTAAAATTTCCAGCGGATCCACAGTGGTGCTTTAGACGGGGTCAAGGGCTCAAGGATCGTGGTCTTCTTCGTCTTCTTGGGCGCGACGTGTGCATTGTCATCCACCTGCATCTCATCGTCGTCCTCTTGACGCTTATTCAGCTTCGGGATCACCTCATTTCCATCTTCGCTGAGGAAATCATTCTTCAGCACCTTCATCGGAGTGAGTTTCGTCGGCGAAAGTTTGAAGGGACTTTCGACCTCGGGGCGAAGCTCCTTCAATGGAGATCGCGACTTGAAAGGAGACTGGGAGGCCGGCATTTTCAGTTGTGAATATTTAGACTCGGACCACTGATAACTAATTGAGAGAGAGTGCCTGGTTGCTTGTGAATCCAATAAGGAAGTTGGCGAATCAATCTATCTTCTTTACCTGGAGAGTGAAGGTGAACCACTTCAAAATCTTCGACGAGATGTTCCTCTAGTTGTCAAAGTGAATCGTTCCTAAATCTAATCTTTAGTGAGGGGATTGTGAAAGAATTCGAATCGTGGGTGACTGAAGAGGCCTGCGTGAGCGCTTGACGACAGGCAAGACTGACTAAAGGCGTGCGAGATGGATAAGCTGGCTGTTGGGTAATAGAATGCCGCCACGACTTATGCAGCGAAGATCTTCTTACTTACTATGTACGCCATGGTGGGCATACACACCATAGACACAGTCGATGTATAGAAACAAAAAAGGCTCCCGACACAGTTTTACAGCTTCAACAATTAACAACGAAGCTTCACGATGAAAAAAAATCAGACCGACTTGTTTAGCCGCAGAGAGCAGTGCTGACGAAGATCTACACCACGCACCACAGACAATGATCGATGAGAAAACGTCTAGAAGTTCACTCGTACGAAAAAAATCACTTCGACTCCGACAGACCACTCGAAACCGATGCCCGCATGAAGTTCGAAACTGTTAAGGGACAGAACTTAGGCAAGCCGAAACCGCTAAGGGACTTGCAAAACGGCCGGCAGCTTTTTGCGCTTTGT